CGTGAGTCTTATTGTGAGTCTAAGTTTAGGTTAAGTTTTTTTAGTCTTTTTTGAGTCATTTAAAAAAATGGAAAATAACAAAAAAAAGGCTTCATTCATGGAGGAAAACGATCATGATAATCCTGATGTCCCTCTTTCGTTGGACAGATGAATTCCAACAGAAGGTGATTCAACAGATCCGCTTCAAGATCGTTTATACAAGCTTCAATATCACATGTTCTTATGTGATCAAAAATTCGATAAGTCGAAGCGATATCTACAAAGGCAATTCGAGAAAGAACAGGAAGAAATTTTGAAGAAATTTGAAGAAAAGATCAAAGAACTGGATGCTCCGTCTCCACCTCCTCAAGAACAACAAGAACTGACTCATCGGGAGCTGAGTCCTCAAGAAAGGGAGTCTGATGTAGACAAAGGGGGGTCAACTCATATCCAAAATAAATCAATTTTGGCCTCCCTCGAGTTTACGAGCTCAATCAAATTTGAGTTGAAATTTTAGCTCATTTATGAGCTGGTCTTTAGTTCACTTATTGAACTAAGGGTTAGATCATTATTAGCTAACATTTTAGTTCATAGTTATCTTTTTATTAAATATAATTTTTATAGTTTTTATGTCTGTCTCTTGGAATTCCAAACCGGCCTTTGGAATTCCAAGAAGTGTTGTTTCCCATGCCGTGGCTCCTTGGCTTCCACGGTGGGGCCGGGTGGGCTGCTGTTTTCCGTGCCATGGCCCTTGGATTTCCGGCCGACTGCTGGTTTTCCAAGCCTGGGGGTTTTTCCCGTGGCTTTGGCGCCTTGGTTCTTTACCCTAAACCCTAATGTATCAAGTTTAGAGTGTCTCTTTATTTCGAGTCAAGTTTGTAAGTCATTTAAATTTCTGTTTGTAATCGTCGCTTGTAAGATTTTAATTTCTAAGTCTGTTTTATATTTGAAATGTAAGAGTTTGCTCACCCTTTCTCTAGTTTGTCCTTATTTCGTCGTGGTTCGCGTCGTTTGCCGGCGGAGGTCCTCGGTTGCCCCATTCCCCAAATTTCTGCCCGCATCAAGATCCTTCTTATTCTCTCTAGAATTCTCCATCAAGCCTCTCAATAAATGTATAACTTCCATATTAGACCTACCTGGCATGAATCCAAATTAATTTTGAGAAACATTATTATTGTGTCGTAAAGTTTGCTCCATAACTCTCTCCCATAGTTTTAAAGTAGGGCAAATTAAATTAATTCCTTTATAATTCATACAATCTTGTGCATCACCTTTATTCTTAAAAATCAAAATTAACTCACTCATTCTCCACTCATCTGACATCTTTTTAGTCTTTAATATAATATTAAAAATTTTAGTAAGCCAAGAAATTCCTTCATCTCCTAACCATTTTCACACAGCTACTAGAATATCATCAGGTCCAACAACATTTCCACACTTCATTTTCTTTAAACCCACTCTAACCTCTGTTTTATTAATACACCAATAGGAAAAAAAATCTCTATATTCATTTAGATTGCTAAGGTCACTAAAGTTAATTGTATTCTCACAATCTTGATTGAAAAGCTTAGAAAAATATCTCATCCACTTTTGTTATTTATCCTCTTGTAATAAAAGTACCTTTGATTTTCATCCTTCATGCACTCCATTTGAACTAAATCCTTACTACTCTTATCTCTTTGTTTGACTAACTTATATATACATCTTTTGTCCTCCTTAGTATCTAATCTATTATATAAATCATTAAAAGTTAAAATCTATGCACAACCATTAAAAACGCGAATGAGGAGTCCGCATGGAGTCATGGTTTAAAATTGCGCAATATGAGGCTCGCCTTGATGCCCGCCTTTGCGCAATTCCAGTAAAAAACGCCTCGATGCTTACGCCTCTAGTTTTTTTTATGAGGCTTGCGCCTCAACTTGGTTGAGGCCCGAATTGAGGCCCGCCTCGCCTCACTGGCATGAGGCTTATGCCTCACGCTATATATTAAAACTTACATAAATCTTGAAGTAAATGCCCGACATTGAACTCTATAGGAGAGGAGGAAGGGGAGAGAGCAGTTCATCATAATGATGATTCAAATAAAGAACCCCTTAGTGATGATAGTGTTGATGACTTATGAGTTCTTATGTGATATGTCATTGCTATTTGTTTTTGGAAATTGGAATTATATCTTAATGAAAAGAATACTGGGATTTAGGAAAGATAGAATTTTGAGTTGAACTATACTTCATGTTATCATATTATTGGGATATTTTGATTTCACTTCATATCTTATGCTTTTTTATGTTTTATATTATTCACTCATTAGTATATAAAAAATTTATTATTTTATGTTTACGCAATTTTTTGATTTTGCGGTTTACGCCTCAAAACGCCTTGAGGCTTACGCCTCGCCTCACGAATGAAAAACGCCTCAATACCCGAATACGCAATTTTAAACATTGCATTGAGTCATGTCTCAAGTCGAGGCGGAAGTCATATATATTGGGGCTTACGCCTTAAACCATCCAACGAAGCCAACAATTTTTTTGCATGAGAAATAAACATCATAGTGTAACCCCTCAAGGCAGTACGAGGCACCGCCTCAAAATTTTTTCTTCAGTATATATGTAAATACGACGCAGCACCCCATTCGTGTTCGGGTATTCGCGTATAGGATTAGGGATTCTTGTGAGAATTGAAAGGCGAACTGGAGGCGAAGCCGTGAGGGAAGGAGACGAAGCCGTGAGTGCAGGAGATGATGTCAGAAGGAGACGACACAGGAAGCGAAGCCGAAAGCAATAACGATTTCGAAATCAGTAAACGAAGTCGAAGTTGTGAGTGCAGGAAACGTTCAGGCCTCGGTTAGGTCGAAAGAGCAGGTGAGCGGTGTTGTGGGCCTTGACTTTGACGTGCAGTAACAAAAACTTGAATAACTCCTGATTCGGCTTTCTTTCATTTGTCCGCACAGTACATGCTCGGTACTGCTAGGTATCGCTAAGTATCGCTAGGTTCATGCTCGGTACCGAGCAGGTATATGCTCGGTACCGCTTAGTACATGCTCGGTATTGCTAGGTACATGCTCGGTATTGCTAGGTTCATGCTCGGTACCGCTCAGTACATGCTCGATACCGCTCAGTACATGCTCGGTACCGTTAGGTACATGCTCGGTACCGCTCAGTACATGCTCGGTACTGCTCGATATCTTTCCATATGAACAACTTACGAACTTCAAAAACAAGCAGAACTTCAAAATTACTCTTACAATAAAAATTTATTATTATTGTTTCATTCTAGAGCTAATGAAATATTAATTGATATAGGGGATAAAGGAAAAAATATTATAGATAAAGAAGAGTTTTGAGGATTACTTTGACATTAATTATGAAGATTCTTCTAAAGACAATCAAAATGATAATGAGCCTATATTGGGTCTTGATCCTAAAAGGATGCTTTATTTTTAAGTGAGTTTATTTTAAATCTTCTTTTCCAGTAATATACTAATATTATCTTAGAACAAATCATCAAATTCACAATTGACATAATATTTTATTATTTTTTGTCATTATTCATAATTTTAAATTACTTTATTTTTATCATTTTTTAGGCTTACGCCTCGATTCGCCTCAAGGCTTACGCCTCGCCTCGCCAAAACGGCTCGATTCCCGATCTCGCCTTTTAAAACGTTGTCTATGCATCATATATTATTTTCTTAGATTCCTTATATACTCATTATATATTTTCCAATTTTTAGTTTTAACATCTAAACCAATTTTTTATAAAAAGCTTCTTATTTTCAAGCTTTTCTTACACAATTTGATTCCACCATTATGTATTTTTACAATTATAAGTTTTTTCTTTTGATACTTTAAGCACATTATTTGCAACATTTTAATATCACTGGCTACTTTTTCCCACATAATATTAGCTTCATCATGTATAGACAAAATCTTAAGATCTCTAATCTTACTCTAAAAAATATTTTAATTTATTTTTCATATTCTATCATTTTATCTTAAAGTCTAAAACTAATAAACAATATTACGTACATAAATCTTCACTTGGATCAACTTTGCAATCTAAATGACATATTTTTCTTACAAGAAAATAATCAATCTGAGTTTAATTATACTCATTCTTATAAGTAATGAGATACTCATCTCTTTCATTAAATAAGATATTAGCAATTACAAAATCATACGCTAGAGCAAAAACTAATATAATCTTACCACCTTTATTAGTCACTCCAAACTCATAGCCACCATGAATGTTTTTAAAATCATATGCCTCTCTACTAACATGTCCACTTAAATATCATCCAATAAAAACTCTTTTTTCAAGAAATATCTTTTTTATTAATTCTTCTAAGTCATTCCAAAATTTTAATTTTGAATACATATCCAAACCTACCTAAAAAGCATAAGTACTTATAATATTAATAATATTAGTATCAACAATAATCTTCAAGGCTATAATTCTATCTTCAATTCTATCAATTTTTATAACACTATCCTTCAAAATCTTATCTATAATCACACCTATATTATTTCTAGTACGACTCCTACCAAAATACTAAAATTTAAATCCTAAACTATCAATATCTTTAGCTTTCTCTTCAACCTAATTAGTTTCCTGAAAGCATAAAATATTTATTTTCCTATGAATCATAATATCAATTCACTCCATTAATTTGCATGTAAGGGAACCAATATTCCAAGATTCTATCATAATTCTAGTTTCATGAACTAGCCTCTTGTTCACATCCATCCATGAAATGAAAACCCTAGTCTATTTAACACTGCACCTAGGCAAAGAGAAAGATATGACTATTGACTAGAAAATAATCATCCAATTGTGTAGAAGTTTTCTGAAATACAGATTTCAAAAATGATTTACCAAATTATCATATGCTGAAAAAGTATGACTCCTTTATCAATAAAAACAATTCATATTTATATTAGAATGATAACAGTAAACAAGTGGAGGCGTATTAAATAGTACTCAATGAAACACTCCCAACATAAGAATGATCAACTTACAGATTTAGAACGATCATTCTGGGGAAGAGTAGCAGCATCCTCATCCTCATCCTCATCCTCATCCTGTTGCAATGACCACGCAACTGTTGCATCTTCCTGGCCGAAGATGGAAGACCAACATAATTAAAAATATGTCAATTAACAGCTCAATTGAGGTAATAGAATAGCCATGAAATCTAGTGCAAAATGTAGTTAAAGTATGCCTTTGTATCAAGAGGAATAAAGATGCTCCTAATACAAGACAATAGTAAAGAAAATTCTTAAAAAAAATCCTAAACTATCAAACTCTTTAGCTTTCTCTCCAACCTATTTAGTTTCTTGAAAGCATAAAATATTTATCTTCCTATGAATCATAGTATCAATTAACTCCATTAATTTGCCTGTAAGGGAACCTATATTTCAAGATCCTATCATAATTCTAATTTCATGAACAATCCTCTTGCCCACATCCATTCATGAAGTGAAAACCCTAGTTTATTTAACACTGCACCTAGGCAAAGAGAAATATATGACTATTGACTAGAAAATAATCATCCAATTGTGTAGAAGTTTTCTGAAATACAGATTTCAAAAATGATTCACCAAATTATCATATGCTGAAAAAGTAAGACTCCTTTATCAATAAAAACAATTTATATTTATATTAGAATGATAACAGTGAACAAGTGGAGGCGTATGAAATAGTACTCAATGAAACACTCCCAACATAAGAATGATCAACTTACAGATTTAGAACGATCATTCTCGGAAAGAGTAGCAGCATACTCATCCTCATCCTGTTGCAATGGCCACGCAATTGTTGCATTGACCTGGCCGAAGACAGAAGACCAACACAATTAAAAATATGTCAATTACCAGCTCAATTAATAGAATAGCCATGAAATCTTGTGCAAACTGTAGTTAAAGTATGCCTTTGTATGAAGAGAAATAAAGATGCTCCAAATACAAGACAAAAGTAAAAAAAAATTCTTCAAAATGGTGCACTACCATGTCCAAGCGTATAACCCTTGTGGTTTCATGATCAAACTCCTCTTGAAGTTCTCGAGAAAATATTTCGTCGGATTCAATTTGATCAGCTATTGCACTGGAAATATCAAAAACTTCACTCTGTCCATAAAAAACGCAATATTTTGCTTCTGGATAAAGCTCATCAATTTCTATTACAGCAGTACCATAAAATCCATTTTCATTGCTCATCTCTTGATTCAAATTAGAAATTCCAGCATGTGATGCTGAAACAGAAGTTTCTCCAAAATTGGATGATAATGAATTGCATTTCCTTTTTCCCTTTGCAGTCTTTTTGCAGCTGCGATTCCTTTTGCTTACCACTGGGTCAGGAAATGCTTGACCATGATGAGGATATGATATGTGACCTTGTGTGGTGATTTGAGGACATTTGCCAATAACATTTGCATTTCCTTTGTCTTCAATATCAGTGTCATGCATCCCTTCAGGCAAGTAGGAAGAGGAAAGTTTTGCTTTATTATTTCTGGAATTTGTATGTGATAATTGTTTCATATTTATTTTGAAATCCTGAGCTTTTTGCAGACCCAAATTTTGATAAGATTCAAAAGAACCTTGTTCGTCTGCAACGGTCACCACCTCTTTCCCAAATAAAGCAGCCCTGCAAGGAAGTAACACTGAATCAATTTCATGCTTAGAGGCCTACATATTCTTAGGACGGTCTATGCTGAAATGTATTTACTTTCACATATAACATGAAAAACTCTTGTCCCTGAGAGATAAAATAAGGCAAACATCTTAAGAGTTCATATAAAAAGTTTTTCTTGTCACATAATCGCCAACACTATGAAAACATCTCAAATAAGAGTAGTAGGTTTTAATAATTTTGACATTGCATAAAAGGCCCTTAATGGGATGAAAATGGATCACACAACTGGCCTAGCGGTCAAGAAGAACTGATCAGATTTCTTGCAGATCCTGAAAGGCTCAGAAAAGCCAAGAAATCACTGATCAGATCAAACTTGGGGACCAAACCAGACCTGAGGTTAAGCCTACCTTATTCTCCTACCACTTCCACCTTAACCATAGAAAAGGCACTACCATCCCCATGCCAATGTCATTGCACTCCATAATCAAAATTCTCCACTTACTAGGATTGATCACCACAACTAGAGCACAACATAGAATTTTCTATCACCATCATCAATCATGATCGAGAAGAGAGCTGCAGAAGTTGCAAACAAAACAAGAGAAAGGAGGCCACTGCCCCTCCTCCCCCAAAGATGCCCCAATAAGGGTTATCCAAGATATCGATGAACCAATCGGAGCTAGTTCAATCAGTCCATGACCATTTCAAGGTCAATAGCTCTGATCCAAGCCACAAAATTCTTTCCTCATGCTCCAAGTAGAATCATAGCATGGATTCAAGAGTCCATGTTGTCTGCTACTTCTACGTCTTTTCAAGAAGGGACATATCTAACTTCACACAAAGCAATCACTAAAATGTCATAGGCCATATTGGTCATCTATTCACCTGGTACTAAGACGCTTATGGAAGAGGCATTCTTGAGACCCATAGGATTAGTATCTCCTATTAGAGAAATTAATTAAATTACTTTTATTTATTTTGCATTTATGCAAATTCCTGATACTTATTTTGCATTCATGTCTCTACATTAAAATGTCATTCAGTATAGGTGTTAATGCACCTCCCTTTTCTTTCACACCTTTGTATCTATAAATATCATATAAATTCTCAATACAAATTAGTGAACATTTATTCCCAATCTTCATCATAATATGGTATCAGAGCAACCCAACTCCATAGAATTTCTTCTCCCTCTACCACCTCTGCCAATCGAAAAGCACATATTATATTCTCAGTTCACTCCATAAATACCAAGATCTCATAGCCTAACACCAACAAACAAGTCAAGCTTACCACCTCCAACTACTCTTCATGATGATTCCAATTTTATACCACTTTTATTGGTTATTATTCATGATGGATCTTACCCTATCCACCTCAAACCATAAACATTACGAGTAGTCCCTCTCCAAGTCATGTCCACTTACTTTGGATCCATCAGATTAACTCATCCTCAATGCCATGTTGACTCTACCACCCGAAATCTCATCTTCATACCGTACATCACAAGAGGCATGGAATGCTCTTACCTACCCCAAATCATCATGAGGGCATCTCAATCAATTAGAAGAACTTCATCATGTTAGCAAGGGATCGAAAGCAATCACCAAGTACATGCAGCGTGTCCTAGTATCACTAATGAATTAGCCATGCTTGGCTGCCCAATTAATGAAGACAATCTCACATTGAAAAACCTAGAATGCCTTGATGATGAATACAAAGACCTCTGCTCGTCCATTTACCTTCGTGAGAGTCCTATCAATTTTCACATGACTAGACACTGAAATGCATCCAAGACTTTTGCTTGGCTCGGTCAAAGACAACTCTGAAATTTCAACCAAAAAATCCTGAACTCTTCCGATGCAAAGTTTTGATCTACATGCAAGAAACCAAAATATTGTTCATAATTTATAAAAATTTTAAAGCAAAAATGTAACCTCTTAACCAACGGCAAGAATGAATAGCAATAAGTTGATATTGATGTGCAGCAATTGTTACAAATCATGAAGTCCACATCACAAATATAAAAATCGCGTCAGTTAAATAATTTAACACATCAATATTATAGTTTACCATATCAAAAAAAAAAAAAAAAAAAAAAAAAAAAAAAAAAAAACATTTTCCAAACCCAATTATCAGGGAGGCTAAATGACAGGTTCTCACCAACCTGCTGGATAGATTAGTAGGCTCCCCATGCTGCACGTCTTTTAGTGTGTGATCCTCCAAATTCACTTTCCCTTTCTTCTTCACATAACGTCGTTGAAAGGGTAAGGAGCTTCCCACATCTGGAGAAATTATTACTTCCCTCCTCCCACTCTCATTTCCTGCTCTTTTCTGAGCCACAATTGAATTCCCTTTTTCAAGAGAATATGATGAAGAACGTGATGATTCAGGTTAAAAAAATAAAAAATAAAAAATAAAAACGTGATGATTCAGGTTGCCAGATCAGATTCATACTATTTCCCTTTGCAGCTCTACCAATTTTACAGCGAAGGCCGTTCATCGGTTTCCATGGCAGCATTCCCATGTCTGATACTGAAGCATCAATCGCTTCCACCAAATCATCTTCCCTTGCCGAAGACTCAACTGAATCCTTACCAGTAGAACTTCTCTTAACCCTTTTATTAGAACTATTCAAAGCATCAAAACCCACACCAATCTTCATCGCATCAGTATCCTACACGATTGAACCAAAACAAGAAATCAGACTCATCAAAATCCGAACTTGAACATAAAACATCCACAATAAGCACATTTTTCATCAACACAGAAGCAAAATCACCAAAAATCTAAAATTCCGATGAACTTCATCACATTACTCCTGCAATTACCACAATATTGCATCAAATCGGACGGTACAAAGAAGCCGACTTTTTTAACAACAACGATGAATAAGAGCAGAAATCGTCGAGGAGCGGTCTGTGGGAAACTGAAATTGGAATCAAGGATCAAGAATCAAAACCCTAGAGAAGAAAACAAAGGGCTTCTCTTTTTAAGGTATTTGAGAGAAACTACCGTTTTGCCGTTGTAACCATCCACTTCGTGCATCTGAACCGCTCGTATATGCCACATTTAGAAGTTTATTTATAGAAGTAATATATAAATGTTAATATTTATTTATATTATATTTAAAATTTTAAATTATGTTAAAAATAATATTATTATTAACTTTTTTAAAATAAATATATATTTTCTTAATAAATATTATATTTTAAATTTTCATTCCATATATTAAAAGTCATAGAAATTCTTACTTTTATTTTTTTTCATCAAATTCTTAATTGTTCATGTTTTCATACATTAATCTATTTTTTCAAATTTTGATATGGTGTTGCTTTGTAAATAATGATAAGGTGTTGTGTAAGTAAATATCTTAAGAAAATCTAAAAAAAAATTAAAAATATTTGGAGTTTATTTTTTTAAGTATATTAATTTTAAAATTCACATAAATAGTTAGAGGCAAAGTAATAAAAATTCTCCCTAAAAATTAAAATGCATCATGTGTTATAAATATTATAATATTATTGTATCAACCTTATGGCATGTTGTATTAAAATTATTTGCATGCACTTTATTTTATCCATTGCAAGTAAATCATGTTTGAACCATATAACCATGTTTAAATATAGGCTTCGTTTGGGACGGCGTCATGACTGCTTTGCTATTTAAAAAGCAGTTAAACAATTGTTTGGACCGCTCGCGGCAGAGGCGGTTCCGAAAATTTTTGCTGTCGCTCGCTGCTTCCCAGGACCGAACCTTATCTCCCGCGGTCTCCCGCGGTAGGCTGCTTTCCGCGGTTTCGAAGAATAAAAATGACGCTACCGCCCCAATTCGTGCGGACGTTGTCGATCATTTCGCCATATCCATGCCCTCGTCTTCGTTACCATACCTATCGGCTGTGAGGAAAATTTGCAGGATTCGGTAGGAGGTCGCTCATCATTTCGGTAGGAAGTCATCTTCGCAATCCTCATACTCGATCGTCTCCAGCGGGCTACATCCTCGGCTACATTCGGTAGGAGGACGCTCATCATTTCACCTGGTATGAGATTCGTCATTCTAACCTTCTTTATTTCGCTCATCTACAATTTTTTGCAACAATGGCATTGCATAATTACATACGTCGACATCCCACTCGATAAGACCCAGAATTCAATATATGTGATGCAGACGTAACATATATACCAGAAGAGGCATATGAGTATAGAATTGGACAATCATTAGTAGAGACTGAAGAGGATGGTTTTAGTCAAAAGGCACGAGATGGTGAAGGTGCGGAGGAGATGATCAATTTACGAGAAAAAATCACAGATGCATTGATGGAAGAGATGAATTAGAAAGTTTCATTTGTTTGGCAGTATGTTAAGTTTTATTTGATTAAGTTTGTGAATCTTTTGATGATTTTTTGTTTCACTTTAAAAGTATAATAGAAATATTTTTATAAAAAGTATGATACAAACCTTTTCAAATAGATAAATTTAATTTGAGAATTGCAGAGAAGTATGTATTATACTTGTGGTCTTATGTTAAAGTGTTTTTGCTGTAGCATGTACAATGTTTTATTCTTTATGAATTGATGTGTATACGAATTATCAATATTAACATGCATTCGATATTTTGAGATTTTCTCTAGTTTTTAATTTTGTCCAATAGAAGCACAAGCAGGTGAGTTGGAATGTAAGTGGTATTATCTGAGAAGTAGTACTGAGATGACAAAAGGAATTTTTTTAACATCGTGCAAATTCCTGATGAATTGGGGCAGATTATTAATCTTGATACATTGTAAGTTTAAACATATTTGTATTATGATGAGAGAATATTTTAGTATAAAGTAATATTAGAGAGTCTAAAATTTTAACAAATTATTTTGAAGTATGATAAAGACAATGTCAATAAAAATTTATAGTATTTTTATATGTAAACTTATAAAATATTTGATATATAAACTTATAAAATATTTGATAAAATAATTTGATATCAATAAAGAATTTTTAGCTTGTTAAAATTTCTTTTTTGAAAAGAAATAATATTTGAATAAATTTTATTCATCTTAATACATATGAGGGTTTAAAGGTAATTTATTCATATACAGCTGCAGCACAGCAGCTGGACAGTTATACTGGCCAAACAAAATGTACTGCTTTCTATACAGCAATTTCAAAAAGCAGCTTTCTGTACAGCGATTTCACAACCTGCTTTACCGACAGCTGCAGCCGTCCCAAACGAAGCCATAGTTAGCTCAACCACTGAGGCTTAGGGTGGTTGGTGGGCAAATACGGTTGGGAACCCCTTAGCTATATATAGTTAGTTCTTATTTAAACGGTGTTTAAATCAAGTTAGAATAGGTTTCATACAGGATTGGAACCATGATCAAATCTTTTCAAATAATATTCAAATCTTGCTCGAATATAGTTTCAGCCATGTTCAAATATTACTTGGACTTAATTCAAATCAATGTCGTTCCATACGGACTTTAAATAAGCGGTCCGTGGTCCAAAGAGTGAAAGTGATTTTCTTATTGATCGAGTATTTATAATGAACAAACAATTTTACGCTTTGTTTGAGACAGCTTTAAACTACTATTTTTTCTGATTTCAATATAATTTTGTACTAAAAACAGTTTTACAAAGTAGTAATAAAGACGTCCCAAACGAAGCCTTAGCTTTTTGACATTTTCATGCATCATAATTAATAGCTCATATAATGTATTTGCAAATATTAGACACATAATAATATGATATTTTGGAAGGATTGAAGCATTTGAGAAGATTAGGTTGTAGTAATGAATTTAATTGTGATTAATTTAAATAATCATATTGTCTTGTATATATTACTTTAACAAGGACATGTTTATTGGGACTATAAAAGGATAATTAGCTTATGAGTTTGGTTGATTATAAGGATAATTCATCTATAATATACTCAATTTTTCAAGAGAGAAGAGTAGGATTGTAAGTGAACAAATGTATTCGATGAACAACTTCATACTTACTCATATAATGTTTGTTTATGTTCGTTTATTTATACAAATAAACAAAATTTTAAAAACTCATCATATAAATGATCAAATTTGAATACTTATTTGCCTGTTCAGTTATGTTCGTGAACCTATTCGTTCGTTGTTTAACAAGTAGCTCATCAAGTCAAGTGTATTATTTTAAGACTCCAGTTATATTCAAATTTGGCTTGAACTCGTAAAATAAAATGAAGAGAAATAAATTTGAACACTAATTTCTTGCAGTGGAAAGTAATCAAAGAGGTTTTGTAATAATATTGAAACCGCCGCAAGCATTTTGGCGGCAATTAAAACCGCTTTTGAAAGCCTATTTTAAGTTCACCAAATATCAGTTTTTTTTTTTTTTTTTTGGTATTGAAACTTTGATGAATATACCAAATGATTTTCCTCTTCGCCTTTGTAATAGATATTCTTGTGTGAGTGCTTGGGTTTTTATTGCAAGGAGGGTGCATTCAAGGCCATTACTCATAACAATTTCTCAATTTCCAACCTTATATATATTTACTCATGTAATGAATGCCTCACATCACTTGACTATTATAAATGAGCTTACTTCTTGCTTTGTTGGAAGTTAAAATTGTTAATTTTTGCAATAAGTATTTAATTTATTTAATCTTCTGTTAGTTCAAATCTATTGAAAAAAATTCAATCTAATATCCAATATTTTGCATTATAATGATGTTGGTAATAAAATTAACTCTATTTCATATAGAAATATAAAAGGATTTGGAGACATTGTGGCTCTAATTATTATTTTGTTGGCTCAACTATTATGGGTTCTATCTAGAAAAGAATTATTTTATAATCTTCATTTTGAGATGATCTTCTAGGTAAGGATATAAGCCATAATGGTTCAAAATTTTTCTCATATAAGAATTTGTAGGACTTATTGCATGTATATATTTATGATTATAATTAGAGCAAGCTCATTTGGTTTAAAGACAATACCTTAAGTATGCTAGTTTTGCTTGAAAAAATCTAAATTAGGAATAGGGCTACAAATGAACGGAGCGTTTGACAAGTTACTCGTGATTTGACTCGATTATAGATTGTTCATGATCATTTATTTAAGCAATCAAATAAGTTTGAATAATTTTTAATATACTCGACTGTTAAATAAACAAGCTTGAACAACTATGATTTTGGCACATTTATGTTCATGAACAATATCAATTAAAGCTCATGAACAAGCTCGATAAGAAGCTCAGGATAAAGCTCGTTGGGAAGCTCGATTAATATTTAATGTAGAGCTTATGAGTAGGCTCGTTAAGAATCGATTAAGTCTTATAATAAATATCTATTTAGTATATCTTTACATAATTTATAGTTTTTTTATAATAAATGATTCTTATTTTATAAAATATTAAGTTTATTTTTATGTTATACTCTTTTAATAAAATAAATTTGTTCATGAATAAAATGTATTTGTTTATGTTTGTTTGAAGTGTTCATGAATAAAATTGTTTATAAGAATGATCATTTTATGAGCTCATTTGTTTGTGAATGGGCTTATTTGATAGCTCGAGAATACTCGATAGGTATATTCATAAATAAGCTCTTTTGGTAGCTCGATAACATTCGCTAGATATAATCGATTCTTGGCAATTGTTTGTTAGTAGACTCGATAACACTCGTTTGTTAAGCTAATGAACATCTAAAGAATAAAGCTTGCTAATAATTCGATAATGCTCTTTTTTTTAAAGCTAGATAAGCAGGAAATGAACCGAACATAAATCAAATATGAACACATATCATTTTAAGCAAACCAAATCTAAACAAAAATAAAAAAGCTTAAATCATGCATAAACTAAAGTTGAACAAGCTAATAATGAACCAACTCAAAGACGGACAAGCTAGTTAGGGGTCCTAAAACCAACAATTTTTTCTCTTCTTCCTCCATTACTCTATAAGACCATCTTCAACCAATTTGCATACAATCGTATGTTGTCCCACATTGATAAATGTAAGCTGTTGTAACAATTTTTAAACCGTTAGGCATCTTTTTTCAAATCGATTTCACCAGCATGTTGTGGACATGCTCAGTTAATTTATT